GATGTTCTTATTGAAGAATACAAGGATTTTTGAATGAAAGTGGACCTACCAGATTTCGAGGAGATAATGGATTCAGATGACTTCTTAGAGTGGATGCAAACTATTGAGTGGATCTTTGAATATAAGGAGGTGCCCAATGACAAAAGAATGAAGCTTACTGCCATCAAGCAGAAGAAAAATGGTTCTTTATGGTGGAAAAATCTGAAGAGGGAAAAGCAAAGAGAAGGACAAGACAAAATGCTTCTTAGGAGAAGATGAAATGATAGATGCAATGATTATACAAACCCATGTACTACCTTTAGGATATTTTCTTGAAGTTCCACGATCTCAACAGAAGAAGCTATTGGTTGAGGAGTACACCACAAAATTTATGTAGCTTGAGTTGAAGTGTGAGCAAAAAGAGATTAAGGAGCTCACACCATAGCTAAATATTTAAGAGATTGAAGCCTATTCTTAGTAATGTGGTCCAATTGCAATCTTATTTGATGCTGAGAGACTTGTAGAATTTAATATTGAAAGTCAAGAGAGAACTCAAGCAGAGCAGGCAACCATCACTAGTCAGACATCCACCCACAGTTGAAGACCTTAAGAGGACCATGCCTTTGGGAGTGGAGCGGACTGGTTAGAAGAAGGACAGAGCTACTCTGAGTGAGAAGAAGCTTGAGAAGAGTAGCACACTCACTATGATCCTAGATAGAAAATGTTTAAGATGTCATGGTTTTGGGTGCATCACTTCTAGTTGTTTGACAAGTTGAGTTATGAATTTCACCGGGCAAAAGGCAGTGGAGAAAGTTAGTGATGAGGAAGTAACTGAAGAAAATGGCGAGGAGTAACAGCTTCTACTAGATGAGGGTGAGATGCTTACCATTTGATGAAACTGAGGCCTTGACGAAGCAAAAAATGGATCCACCTTAATATAATCTACACTCATTGCATCGTGAAAGGAAATATATGTAGCATCTTCATTGATTGAGGTAACGCTAGGAATATGGTGACAACTCTGTTGGTGAACAAGTTGAGCATCATGACTCATATACATCTCCATCAATATGAAGGAGAACAAAATAAAAAAAAATAATAGAAGCTACATCATGAATTTTTTGATTGGGAGCCAGTTGCAGAATCAAATTTGGTATATTGTGGTGCCCATGGATGCCTATCATTTTTGTTGGGGATACTGTGGCGAAATGATTGGTGCAAGAACATCTACTTATTTATCAACTATTAAAAATACATAGTCCTTCTACCTTATACAGAGTCAAAGATTACAGGAGCTCTTGTCAGCAAAGAAGCATCAGACGAATCAGTACTTTAGATGACAAAGGTTCACAAGTGAGGAGCCGATAGAAAACAAAAGACTACTGATACAGAGAGAGTTTCAGGACATCATGTTCACTAACTTAACACTATGGTCATTACTATTAAAAAAGATTTAGATTGTTCTCACCTCAGATTGGTTTGAACCAACCTTAGGTTGCATTTGGATAATTCAACAGAATACACTTAATATGGAATCCCTGTTCAGCTCCACAAGTTACTTCCATATGGTTCGATCAATATGGGTGTTTTCTTGCAAGTTGGGAAAATTCCTCAGGTGCTTCGGGGGACAGTATAGTCACCAGTGGGATCTGAGTGCTTCTTGGACCACAGTCAAAGACCCCTTAACCCCAGAAAATTACAACTCCACAACTTTCAACATGCGGGCAGACATTTCAACGAATGAGGTCGAAAGTCCCCCTACCCTGGAAGAATGACTTAGGAGCTTTCCGACGCAAATTTTTTACGATATTGTAGCTATTAAAATACCACAAGAAAAAAATATCATGAGAGGTGGGCAGCCGAAATGATCTCATTTTCCTTTCTTATGCTTTATTATTATTATTATCTTTCATATCTTTGTAGTTATTTCTTATATATGTGTTGTAGTAGGGTTTAGAAATCAATTTTTATGATGTTTTCTGCAGCCATCGATAACCTGGGTTTCTACTTTCAAGGTTATATATGAAGGCAAAAAGGTGTTCAGGCTATAACTCGTTCGAGGTGATCTCCTTTCAACGAATCGAGTGGTGCTCGAGGTGTTATTTATCCTTACCTAACTCCTCTGCAATCTTTTCAACCCCCGCCGTGGCCTTCCCCTCCCTCCTCTTTGCCAGCCTCGCAGTCCCAACCCTCCACCTTCGCTGCAGCCCATGTTTCCTCCCTTGCCTTGTTGTTTTGATTGTTTTCTAGCTCTCCGTACTTGTTGTAATATCCCATGACATCAACCTTATTGTCATTTTCTAGCCCTCTGTACTTGTTTCATTCATTCCCACCATCTCCCTCTTTGATGCAACACCGAGATAGCACTCCTCTTGCTATCATGCAGTTCACAATCCCTCGCTGCACCTCACTATCACACTACCTCCCCTTTATTGCCGTTGTCGTTACAGACCCTCTACTTTGTTGCCAACGCCATTCCAACTCCTATTTTGTCGCAGCCACTCATAACCTAGTCCAACCTCCTAACACTACTCCCCCGACCACCTAGCCGATCTTCACCACCCCCGGTTCGAGCCCAAGTGTGTTTGGTTGTAACCGCCTATTTGTTTTTAGTAATAACACTTGTTTTTTTTTCTATTGTGGTTTGGGTTAACTCGGATAAAAGAGAGAAAAATTATTTTTCTTTTTTTTTTTCTTTTCATAAGCGGGCCCAAATCTTTTCCTTATTTTAGTTCTCTATTTGGTGGTGTGAATTCACAGACAAATCAAAATCTAATCGTTATAGCAATTATTAATAAGTATTGGTTTATAATTTCACTCATATTTGATTTTTATGCTACATTTTATTTTGAGTTAAACTAATAAATTTCGGTAAGAGAATAAGTCTAAAACAACAAATCATATATCACATGCACATAAATTTAAGCATCATCAATGGCGAAGCTAGAAAAATTGCTTAGTGGGGGCACAATCTAACTATTTAAAAAATACTTTCAATTTATTTATTATATTTAATAATTTATGTCAATTATATACATTTTATTTTATTTTAAGTATTTATCATAAAAATAAAATTTTAGTTTAAAATTAGTTGAAGAAAAATTAATTGAACTATTGATAATGAGAAAAAATAAATAAATAAATAAGCTTATTTAGATCATTTATATTAGTTGGAGGGAAGTGGGGAGGGGGCACGTGCCCTCTGTTGCCACCTCATAAATTCGTTAATGACAATTGACAGCATGAAATGACAAAATATAATCTTAGAGCTTTTATGTGATCTCTCTTTACATTTTCTCTTTGAATTACTTCTTACTTGTATGTAAAATTTTAGTGCCCGTAAAAAAATATTCAGTGCAAACATTAATGTAAAAAAATCATCAAACAAGTAATTAAAGATTTCATTGTGAAAATAAAATTATAGATTTGAGAATTTTTATTTTTTATCCTCAAATATTTTTAAAATTTTCTCAAATATATCATAAATTTTTGAAATTCAGCAGCAGCAACAACGGGTCATGAGTCTTATCTCTGTTGCGTCCTATTTAGTGTCATATTTTCATCTAGTTCTAATAAATTAAGATAACTTTTTATACAATATGCCCAAGTCTTTCTAGGTCTATCTTTGTCTTTCTTAGCATAACTCTAATCTAAAACATCTACTATCCTAATCTAAAACATATACTATCCTAAATGTGACCAAACCATCTAAGATGACTTTCTCTAATTTTGTCAGTGACTGGAGCTACACCAACCCTATCACAAACCAACCCTAACCAACCCTATCACAAATATATTCATTTCACATTTTGTCTCTAAGTGTAAAGCCACTCATCCACCTAATCATTTTCATCTCGACAACACTTAGTATTATGTTTCTCTTTTTAAGGCCAATGTTCAGGACTATAGAGCATTGCAGGTCTCACCATCAAAAGGCCCGAAACTTTCCTTCGCTTCGACCAACAAAACTTGAATTCTACCATTAACATTCCCATCTATATCACCATCGTTTAAACAACAAACCCGAGATATCTAAATCGTTCACACAATCGCATGATGATATATTTAATCTGAATAATTAAATATTTATCTTTTTTATTAGAATAAAATCATTAGATATATTATGTATTATGTTAGTCATTAAGGGCATCTTGTTTGTCATCATTTTTATTTTCGGCTTGATTGGTATTCTTTTTGCATTTCTTTTATTTAAGAAAATTACATTATTTTTAATAATAATTTGAATGTTTTTAAAAACACTCAAACGATACCATTGCGTAAATTGTGATTGGCATAGCACCCAAACGATTCAATTGATAGGTACAAATACTCCCATTGTCAGGAGATTTAAATATCTCCTCTAATTCAATATGCTCGATCTCCATTCATATAACTCAATTGATGACGACAAATCCAACACTCAAAACTCGAGTCCAATTCTATTGAGGCCGATGGGACAAAATGTAGCCCTATTCAGTGCTCATCTTAGTTTATATTCTTGCTTAATTTGATTGCATGCATAATGTTAGTAAATCCAAGATTCGTGAGAAGTTCGAAAGTAGGGGTCTTAACGAGTCGAGATGCTAGGGGCAGAATTCTCCTTCAGCTTCGCGAGATCGAGCAGGGACGGCTTCGAATCGCAGGGCAAATAGTAGATATTTTATCGGTAATGTGGGTCGCGGGATCGATCTTGCGGCCCCGTGTTCCATCAAATTCGCGGTGGGCGGCAGCCAACGCCTGTTTCAAATGCCGAACAGTTCTGACGTCACGATTTTGGGGTCACGCCACACGAAAAAAGAGACCCCAAAGGGACACTAAGTAAACCTCAAATTTGTTCCCTTTTTCATTGCCATCCATTGTGCTCTGCAATGTTTGAACAAGGTCAATTTTTAAGCATTAGTAAGTCGGCGTTCTTATCTTAAAGCCCCTAGAATGAAAACTAGAACTGCAATTTTAGAAAACTCGAAGGGCCTTTTCTTCAAATCGACGCTATTAAATAGAAGTTATATCTCATCCTCTACGCTTAAAAAATATTACGTGCTCGCTCCACTAGCCAGAGATGGCACTCCGAGGCGCCGTGAGCTTTAACCCTCTGCTCTTTCGTCTCTTCGTCTCGCTTACCATCCTCCTACTCTTCCTCGCCGGGAGAGGTTCCGGTGGCCGCCTTATCTCGCCGCCGGCTGAGGATCTGCTCGTCTCCGATGGAGCAAACTCCGGCCGGACCTCAGGTGACGCGCCCTTCTTGCTTTTAAGGGGAATCTCGAAATCGCTGAGATTTTCCGCTGCGGAAGGTTGCGAGCAAACCTATGGCCTTCTCCCGTGCACCACATCGGTGGTGGGGAACCTGTTCCTTGTTTTGGTTTACGGCTTCCTTATGTTCAAGGCGGCTACCTTCTTGTCTGGGGGAAGTGAACTTTTGCTCGAGATTCTTGGGCCTGGGATCATTGGTGGACTTTTCTTGCCCATCCTGGGCGCTCTTCCTGATGCCTTGCTTATCCTTGGTAAAGTTCGATCGTCGATCGGTTTCATTTTCTCGGATTTTCTTTTAATGAGCTATTTGATGGAGGAAATACTGATGAAACATTTTGCATATTCCATTGTGCTCTAAATAAATTAGACCTTATGTCCTCTGCTGATTGGATATTTTAAAAAAATAATAATGCAATTAATTTTCTTATTGTTTATGATCAGATCTTTAGTTTTGAGAGGCTGGTTTGATTTTGAGCGGTGACAAACAATGCGCGCACGCGCATGGCGAAATCTGTCATTTAGGGCTGTGGGAAATGATGCATTTAAGTTATTAGGATGTAATAAATCACGGATTTACTAAATCCTGAAGGGTTTAAATCCGTTGCAGACAGCCCCTTGGTGAATTTAGGCATAATTGACCTTGTTTGTCATCGCTATAGCTCTGAATTACTTCGAAGTGGCCAGATTAATGTTCTGAAACATGACTCTAAGTTAATCTGTTCAAGAACTTCGATAGTGTGGTTTTTAGATCATCGTTAGTTTCATCCCAACTATTTGAGAGCAGCTTAGCAATAGTGAAGGAGACGACACCACATGGTTGGGATGAGCCGAAATATGTTAACTTGATCTTTTAAATTTCAACAGAGTTCTTTTGACTGCTGTCATGTATCAGAGTGACAAACTTGCTTGAATAAGCAAGCTAGCGCAAGTCACAAATCATCCCGCAAAGATCCTGCAATGTAGATGTATTAAACTATTTATTAGTGTGAAGAGGAGTGGCACTGGAAATTTATGACTTTATTGGCTCTTTACTGTGTTGGGTTCCTTAACAAGAAATTGCTGCAGGTATCAAGCCTCTCTTTTGGTGTCAGAAAGATTTTTTTTCTTCTCTCTATTTTATTTTTTTAATAATGCTCTTCAATTCGCCCAAGAAAAGAAATATAATCGGGTTGATGTATTAATTCTATTCCATATCAGTGGTCATTGGTGGTGTATATGATCCTCAACTTGATTTAATGGAATAGAAGGCATCATTCTTTAAGGAGGATGGGTATTGTGACAATTTTGTTTTTTCACAGTTTAGGCTTCCTTTGGTAATGATTTGTTGTTATGTTAATTATTGGGGCTACAAAAAAAGAATCAAGGCAAGCCGAGCAGGTGCTTATTGGAGCTCAAGCTCGTTTATTAAAATCATGTTCGAATTTGATTGAGCTTGAGCTTGTTTATCAAAACATTCATGCCCTTTTTATATAAGGAGTCTCAAGTTTATTAACGAGCAACTTGTTTGACAACAAAAATAAATCGTAATTGGGCCTTACTGATCTTTATAGGAGAAATTTGTTTGAAAAAATAAACGAATCATATCAAACAAAGTTTGTTGTTTCTAAAAAATAAACATTTGAACATTAAAAGTCATGATCGAGCCTTAATCAAGCTTCTTAACAAATATGTTCAGGAGTTTTAAACAATGGTGTTCATGAGCATAAGTGAATTGAACGACGAACTCTTCAAACTTGTTGATTTAGCAACCGAGAATTTATCAAAATGTTTAAGCTTGTTCAATTAATTTACCAAAGGATTATGAACAAGCTTTAATCAAGCCGGACCACAAGTAGCTTGTCCAATGTAGGCCTATCAATTGCCACATTTTGCTAAATAAAGTCGATTTTATCATCACGAAAATGGACAAGGTGCTCTGTAAAGTATGTTACCCATTACAATGGGCAAGGGCAGTATGGCACTTTCCTACTTTGGTATTGTTTGCAATTTAACTTGTCTAGTTTTGTTTTTTGAATAGAAAAACAACATATTTGCTTTCCTAAACAAGCTTTAAGCGTTCATGGCTTTTCAAGCATCTGAAATAGGTTTTTATGAAATTTCAAATTTCTTGTTCATCAAGTTTGGAATGTCAATATTGTTTAAACTGTCTTTTATGTTTAGTTTTGGAAGTATTTTTCAACAACTTTTTTCTCCTGTTCCATTGAGCCAAACTGTGTTAATTGATAGCACCTTTTAGCTCTTTATTCTTGTTAATAAATACCCCTCAGTTGTATTACTATTTTCATTGTTGTCCATGTGAGCCACAGGGTTTTCTTCTTTCTTTTTTTTTTTGCTTTGTTGAAGGTTTCAAATGTTATGAATTCAATGTTTGGTGGAGAATTACAACTAACACAACAATTCGTGATGATCTGCAGTGTCTGGGCTTTCTGGAAGTAAAGAGGAAGCTCAAGATCAGGTGTTAATCGGAATGGGCTTACTTGCTGGTTCAACCGTTTTTCTTTTGACGGTACTGTGGGGCTCTTGTGTTGTTGTTGGCAAGTGTGATCTTTCAGACAACTCAGTTTCAGTAGATTCAAAGGATACTCGTGGGTTCAGTTTATTTGGTAAGTTACTTTACAGAGGTTTTCATAAAGTTGTACTGTGCTGTTTTCTAAAATTTGTTGAATATTATGTTGCTTTTGGCATTGCTTTCCTCATCTCTTTTTGAATCGCCTCTAATTTTTGTACTTTACTGCTACAATTGTATGATTTATGTGGAATTTGACATATTCATTTTGTTCACATTATATAATATGTATAAATTACCTGTAAATTTGAAGAACTGAAAGATAAATATGGTTTCGAGGAAGTCCAGTCCCCTATATCTGGAGGAAAAGTCCTAGCATGCATTTTTATTTTCTTTAAATAGTAATGATTGAAGTTATCATGTAGCTTCAGCCTAAACAGAAATCTTTCATTCATTAGATTATTGACCCCTAGTTCCCCCACCTTAAATTCACTATCCAGCCAGATGAATCTGAAAGCCCTGATATTTGGGAATTATTATTGAATTTGTTGAAAATAGGGGTTCATGGGGAAGAAATTTTAGATCTCTATGTTGGTTTATTATTTTATTATTTCATTAAGACATTTAGTTTTCCCGCGCTAGAACTAATGTGGGTACTATATATTACCTAGCCTTCTGTACCGTGGCCTTTTCGGTACATTTTTCTAATGTGCCTTGAATCTTCCAATATCGGCGCTATGCGAAAAAATGTCCACTTTCCATCACTAGTTTGTTCATTGTTTATTATTTTTTTATTAGATTGTAATTGATTGCTTGGAATAAAAAGTATTTTCTTTGTTTATCTCTTTGTAAATAATAAGACCAGTAGAGATCTTGCGTCAACATATCATACACATTTCTACTGCATTTTTTCTTTTATTTATAAGAAGGAACACTCTAGTTTAAAGAAATAATCTTCAATAAATTATTGCATTGAGGGAAAAATTAATTGTTTATGTATGCAAAATAAGTATAAAACTTAGGCTGGGTGAAAATATTACGTGGAAGTCATTTGAAATAAATAGAGAATTGCTCCGTTTTGAGCTCAGTAAACAGTTAGGCCCCTTCATTTTAAAGTATACACTTGTTGATTTCTATTTTGTTTGCATCTTTTTACAAAAGGCAATTTTGTTGAACTTCTTTTTACGGTTGGCAGTGTTTTCTTTTTTTTTGGAAGATTTACATACATACCATTGAATTCATATATATATTTACATATCTAACCCCTAAATTCAATATTTTCATACATTCCACCTTACCTAAAAGGTTGTATATAACTTTTTAAAAGTTAAAATGGTGGTATTTTTATGTGATATGAAAGATTTGGGTGTTATAAATATAAAACAAGGTTTGTTTGGGGCAGTTGCAGCTTTTCCAGCTTATACAGATAAGCAGCTGATCCAGATAAGTAGTTGTTTTGGAGTTGTTTCTGGATAAATGACTATTCTGCCCCTATGCAATAGTGTAGTTTGCAACAGAACTGTCATAGTTATACATTCGATATTTTAGAAGCAAAACCCTACTTTTTAATAATACAAAAAAAAAAAATATACCTCACGTAAGAGTGAACATCAAGAAACCTAAAAAGAAAGAAAAAAACATATTAAAATTATAATTAAAAAATATGATAACATCGCATTATAGATAACCCATTGCAACTAAAAAATCCCTCAAGCAAAAAAATCTATTGCAACCGAAAAATTTCGCAATGGAATAGAAAGATTACCCATTGCAACCAAAAAATCCTGCATAAAATATAGAAAACAACGCATTATAGATGCTTCAACTAGAAGAAAGCCAACTCGCCAACAAGCAATCCAACGAGAAGCTAGGAATGTTAACTAGGGCAAGAGCGATCGATCAACCTAGGGCAAGAGCGATGGAGCAAGAGGCGAGGGATGATATCAAAAGGGCAAGAGTGATCAATCAACCTAGGGCAAGAGCGATTGAGCGAGGGAGGAGACGGACAAAAGAAGGGCGAGGGAGGAAACAATTCGCTCGACGCGGATTCAAGATGCGGGCCGTGGGTCGATCCCGCGGCCCCGTCTATTAAGGAAATGAAAACGGTGTTTTCCAATAAGCGCTCCGAATGCATGAAACAAACGGCGTGGTGGCCGTCCGCCCCTATATGCTGCCCCAAACGACCTCTAAAGTTCAGGTGTTAGATATGTTAATACATAGGAATTGAGTGCAATGCTTATTTCCCCTGGTAAGTGCCTGGAAAGAGCCTCTACAATGCACACACTTCCAAAATTGCCAATGAGCACAAGGGGATGGTGCAAAGGTACAAGCATCCTCTGCTCAAACAAGAATCCACAATGAGATTTGTTGATGTGGTTTTCTTGGTCTTTTTATGCGATCCGAAGGAGGGACCTAATTACTTGGTTTGGAGAAACTGGGCAACCTAAATTTGTGTTCATTGTTGTAATTGGATAGAGAATTGCAATTTTAATATCGAGGGAATTTGTTTGAAGTTGTAAGCAATATTTTATGATCTGGTTGCCTTGTTGGAACCTATTTACAGTTCAACTGTTCAAGTAACAAATAAACGAATATTGTGTAATTATTATTTTTACTTAAAAAGTGACAAGGCGAGTTGGAAATATTATCATATTTACATGTTTGAACTTGATCAAGAAAGACATCATCATTTTGGCGAAGCCAAATGTAACTGATTTACCCTAAATTTTGAAAATTGTAATCTGAATTTCACTCTTTTCCCTGTTCTGGGATGTTTGAATTTTGAAGCTAAAAAAAGTTACTCATTTTTTGCTTAAACATTTTCAGATGCTAGGACTCGTGTTATCAACATCAAATAACTCATATATTGTGCTGAGCAGTAAAATCTGATCTGTTTTTCTTTCTTGTGCCTACAATATTTAGCTAACCTAAAAACATTGATAGTCATTTAAAAAGAAGATTTTGAGATTTTATGTGTTTGTTACCTATTGTATATTTCAATCAGGCGAGATTACCCCAGGATTTATGGATGATATTGTCCAACATGCTTGCAGGTAACTTTGTAATTTTAATTCATATCAACATGCTCTTACTTATAGGTTGTAAATCCTTTTTTTTTAATTATCTTTCATGTGCACCTAATTTTCCCAACGTGATTTTCTTATCCCCTATGTTTATGATGATATAATCTTGCATTAAGGACTGTTGACATTACTGACCAAACTGCACTGTCATGATTTGCTTGGATTGCTTGATTTATCAGGTATAATGACGAATGATTTTCTTGGATTCTCAGGGTCTGGTGTTTCGACTGATTTGCAAACTAGCTATGCTGCAAAGATAATGACCATCTCCATTCTCCCATTTGTCATTGTACAGCTGCCAAAAATTTTCAAATTTCCTTCAGGACAGCGCCTTATAATCTTGATAACCATTATTATTTCAGCTGGACTAGTCCTTTCTTATTGCTTATATCAGGTATTTCATCATCATGATTATTACGAGCCCGCCTTCTATCCTTCTTCATCTTACTTCAACATTGTGGTATTGGAAACTTTTATGATGCCTTACCTACGGCGCATTTTGAAAACCAATAAAATATGTTCCATATTACTTCAACCTGATGAGGTCCTTAATTTTTATTGTTTTTCTTCTTCGCTTTAACTCTATACAGATATCTGTATTTGATGATTTCTTAAACTATGTTAATGTTTTTATCTGAGCATTTCTTTCATGTTGTGGTACAATTTTATGTCTACATTACTATTTGGCTCTGTATTAATAAAAAATAAAATAAAATTGAATTTCTGGATCCTTCATGCTCTGTCTAGAAACATAAATTGCCCTCCCTCTGGACAAGTGTCAACTAGGTTGTGGCTTACTACAACTTTTACCATCTATAATTACTCTCTTTTTATTTTTTAAGGGCATTGACATGCATACCCCCCAATTCCTATGTATATACATATCTAACAGCTAAACTACTTTTTACATTTATAAAACATACATCTTTCACATCACATAAAAAATACCACCATTTTAACTTTTAAAAAAGAAAATACACCTTTCCATTTATAGTTAAAGTGGCATGTTTGTAAAAATTAAATTTTAGGTGTTAGATATGTAAATACATAGGAATGGAGGGGTATGTATGTAATGCCCTTCTGTATCCAAATGACTTCACCCTAATATTATAAAGTAATTTTAAAGATTCAAAGGTCACTTTGAACAGCATATTCGCTTCATGATTATTTCTTATAAAAGGAAAATTATGATTGATGTGATTTTTAATGTGCTTTTACTGGAACAGATCTTTCAGCCATGGATTCAAAGAAGACGACTAGCTTACGCAAAGCACAAGCATATTATATCAGGAATACTTCAACACGCACAAATGCAAGCACTTGGGCGGCTTGTAACAAGTGAAGGAGAGCCTAATAAACCTGTCATTGAAAAGTGAGTGTCATTGCATGATTTATATGTCTTAAATGCTTTATATTATAAACTAATTTCAGTTGTTGTCATTCTTCCTAAGAATCTCTGTGAGAATTGCCATCTTACATTCTGTTCAGATTGTTTCACAAAATTGATTTGGATGAGGACCGAGTTCTCTCGCATTCCGAATTACGAGCATTTATCATAGGAATCCAGTTTGAAAATATCGACCTGGACAAGGATGATGCCGTGGATAAAGTAATGGTTGAATTCGACACCTCTAGAAATGCCGCAATTGAGAAAGACGAATTTATTCGCGGGGTTTCAAACTGGATTAAAGAGGCTAAAAATACTGTTGAGAGTTCTGGCTCTTACTCCAAAAAGTTTGTGCATGATTTTCATATGGTAAGTCCATTTCTGAGTTGATATTCCAAAAAAAACTCGAAGATTACCACTCAATTCTCTTGTATTTACGTATCTGAAACCTAGAGTTTAATTTTTACATACATGCCATCTTACTCATGCATGAAAATGGGCATTTCCACTTTAAAAAGTTAAAATGTTAGTATTTTTTATCTGATATGAAAGATTTTGGTGGTATAAATGTAAAATTAAAGTTTAGCTGTTAGATATGTAAACAAATAAGAATTGGGAGGCGTTTATGTAAATGTCCAAAATCAATTTTAATGCTTAACATCTACTCCAAAAATGTGCAGAAAACAAAAGAACAACATGACATGCTACTGGACAATGGTGATGAGGGTGTGGAAGAAATTGAAAACCCTACCATTATTTACGTGAAAGCTATTCTATTGTTGTTGTTGGGGACTATCATTGCAGCTACATTTGCTGACCCTCTTGTTGATGCTGTGGACAACTTTTCTCTTGCTACCAATATTCCCTCTTTCTTCATCTCCTTCATTGCCATGCCCTTAGCAACCAACTCCAGTGAGGCTGTTTCGGCACTTATTTTTGCTGCTCGAAAAAAGAAGAGGACTTCTTCACTTACATTCTCCGAGGTTTGTTGTCAGGGCTCATATCACTCCATTTTTTAAAATCGAAACAATTATTTTTCCTTTCCGTGTATAATTGCTGTTGTTTTTGTTAGTTCCTCATGTAAATATTAAAGTTTGGGTGTTAGATATGTAAATGCATAAGAATTGTGGGGTGTTTATGTAAATGCCTTTTTTTTTCCTTAAATCTTAGGGTAGACTTTCGAGGATGACAACCTTTAGCACCAAGTATATGCGGGAAGTATACATACGGGGTTATACATTCAGATATTGTGAATATAAAGAGGCATATAAATCAAATATTTTAGAAGGAACAATTATAGCCATCATGATTTTTTGTTTTAGTCTTTTGAAATTTCTTCACAAATGTAGATTAGCAATTTAACAGTTCATCATTATGGTTAACAAACGTAAACCTTTTCCATATGTCTACCATAATCACTCGACAAATTTGATTTTTTTTCTTAACATGGTTGTCAGATACCCAGAACGCTTCTGTGCTAATCTATAAGTAAATTTGACACTTCAGGATCACTATTAGAGTTCTGTTTTTAATCAGATTTATTTTTACTAGAAAAGGTCAAAATAGCCTTATGATTTTTTGCGGCGACTCATTTTAGTCTTGGAGTGTATAAGAATGTCAAATATATACCCGTACTCTTTTACTTGGGGCTAACATGATAAATGGTCTTCACAGAGGACTATTTCAGCATCTATGAAGAGCTAATGGGGGGATAAATTTGATATTTTTATAGACTAAGAGACTAAAATAAACCCATTATAAAGAGTATGGGGACTATTTTGATATTGTATACATATTTATATTCCGACTTCAATGCCTTGTTTACGTGGCAGGTATATGGCGGGGTGACGATGAACAACACGCTTTGCCTGGCGGTTTTCTTGGCCCTCGTCTATGTGAGGCAGTTGACGTGGGACTTCTCGGCTGAAGTCCTTATAATCATTATAGTCTGTGTTGTGATGGGCCTCTTCACCAGCTTCCGAACCACATTTCCCCTCTGGACCTGCTTGGTGGCCTACCTGCTCTACCCCCTCTCCCTTATTCTGGTATATATTCTTGATTTTAAGTTTGGTTGGTCATAGACTCTCTTTGTTTTTGCTTCTGCTGCAACTTCGTCTGGCGCCTTTGAATAATTGACCTTTTTAAGTTTTACTGTTTATTAATATGTTGAGCGGCTGTGTTGTGGGATGCTTATTCTGAAATGAGATTAGCCCAGTTTGGTTGGATATATTTATGTCTTTCAAAGCTTGTGTTTCTGTTGAGGGGCATTTTACATACGCGCCACTCAATTCTTGTGTATTTATGTATCCAACACCTGAATTTTGCTCTTTGTGTTCACTTTTTTAACTTCTTAAAAGTGAAATACATTTTTTATGCTTATGTTAGGTGGTATGTGAAAATTGAAATTTAGGTGTTAGAAATGAAAGAATTGAGTGGTATAAACGTGAATCTTCATTTTGTTTATTGTGATGGTTTAAGATCTATTTACATATATAACACCAAAATTTTACTTTTATATTTATATCATTGAAATCTTTGATGTTTGTTAAATCCGAAAATGTCTGGGAAACACATCCAAGATATACAACGTTCTGCTAAAAGGTGGTTAGAGAAAGAGGGCGCAGTAGGAAAACATTAAAAGTCTAGTCTCCGTTTATGATATGGACCCTCTATTTATAAAAATATTTATAGAAATATGTCACATTTATTATAAAACTTGAATTCAGTCTACTTATTATTAATTTTGAGGGGGGCCTTTTAGTAATTATAAGAATATTAGAATATAAAGACTAGCGAATTTATTTGGTCGATGAGAAGTTTGTTGACCGCTCGTTGCGTCTTAGCTTCATTGGTACACGGTCTGTGACCAAGTAACTTGTTGATCAGTTTTGGAGTCGATCGTCGCTTTATAGAAAATTCTTCGCCGCATTTTTGCAATTGTCCGACTTCAACATCTTCTCCGTTAGCATCAATCCTTGGATCGTTAATAAGGCATATGATCGATCGTTCCTCGCTCAAGAACTGTACGTCTATCTTGATATTCATTCTAACATATTTTTCATATATAATAACATATCAGAAATAACATCTTTTAACTTTTATTAAGTGAGGGATATCTGTGTATTTTTAGATAAGGTGGTATGCATGTAAAAGTTGAAGTTTTTGTGTTAGATTTGTAAATACATGGGAGTTGGCGGCATGTATGTAATTCTTCCATCTGTTTATTTGTGACAGTTCGATCCTAAGTTGTTTGCGACACAGTGTTCTGCATAAGCTATTTATTTGTCACAAGTAGGGATTGAAATGAACCAATGTACGCGGTTAATAGCTCTAATTCTTTTTCTCCATTGTTGCCTATCGAGTTTCATATTTTCATTTAAAGTATATATGGTAAATTATTTATATAAAATTTAATTTACTAAATTTTATATGATTTTAAATTCATTAGTAATATATTATTATGTTAATAACATTTGAGCGTTAATTATTACTTACATATTTATTTTATTAATATTTATCAATTAGTTTGATTTACTTGTTGATACGATACCAACAAATTTTCATCATCTAACACGAATTTCGAGGTAATTTTTTGAACAAGAAATATTCAAGCTTTGATTAAGAGTCATCCACAGCTTCAATTTCAGCAAAATTATAGTCAAACTGATCGGCTCGATGAGACAGACCTAATGATATGAAAGTCAGTCTAATCCAAGTCAAATCAAGCCCAGATCAAATCATTAAACCACTCTTGGAGGATTTCTGGAGGTATTTGAAAGGTCGAACGGATGTCGAATCTAGTGAGTTCATAGTCGAATCGAGCATCTCGTCAAGATGAATCCAATTGAATCCAATGAGTCTAAGATTGCTCAATTTCGACATCGTTAAGGCTCTCAAATGTCCATCAAACAACATCTGATCGAGGGAAGTTCTCCGGACCGTCCGATCAAGATAGTTCATATTCATGTATTAATTGCACCCAAAACACTATAAATAGAGATCCACCTTTCACATGAAGGGGAGAGGCTAGAGAGAGAACTTGAGGCTTTGAAAAAGAGCTAAATTCCAGTAATAATTTCTCGTCTGTGGGATAAGGGGTCGCTGTAATCATCAACATATAGTGAATTCTTATAATTGGGTCAGGCCTCGTGGTTTTTTCCCTTTACGGGTTTTCCTTATAAAACTTCTAGTGTCATCACTGGTTGTTTCACTTTCATTTGATTGTGTGCTGAATCCTCGTGCAACGCTAAAACGATAATTCATTACTCTACCGACGCGAATTTTCTAGCACGCATCACTTGTTAATATATAATTATTATCTAGCATATTTAATCCATCATATTTTTTATATATTAATAAATTAATATTTCTATAAATACATAATATATATTTATAAATCAACTAATTCACATTAATTTTATTATATTATATTTGAATAATCTATTTTTTCTCATCTATGCGTCACCGTTCGCTTAGCACACAATAGTTTTAGGCCCTAACCCTACTTGTTTCTTAAAACATTTCAGTTTTGCTCATACATTTTTTTCTCGTTCATAGCTTCCTGATATCCTCTTTTGGGTCTACCAAATTATATATATATATATATATTTATTTATTTATTTATTTATATATGTGTATATGTATGTGAAAACTAGATTCAAGCTCAATTCAAATATAAACAACATATAATTTAATTGAGCCAAATCCGACCGACTTAGGGTTTGTTCGGAGCAGCTGCAGCTTATTGAATAATCTGCTGATAAGCTAGGTGCGGTGACTATTACAAATTTTTATTTTTTTGGAAAAGTCAGACCGCTGCTAATAAGCTGCCACAACACGTAGACAGGTGCGGCGTGAAAACGTTATTTTCTGCGTTTTGAAAATGCATAAGCTGCCAAAATGCAGTTTACCCAAACAAACCAGGTGCATTTTCAAAACGCCACCGCACCAAATATGCTGCCCCAGACAGACCCTAAACTCAGCTTAATGACAACACTAAGCTAGAGCATAATGATGTTAGCCAAGCTTCCATCATAATTAATTAATATTTGTGCATGCTAAAGTCACGGTTGCATGCAATATATAATTTTATATTGTGTAAACCTAATAGTCATTTTAAAACTAATGCTAAATTTCTTATGTGACATAAAAGATTTAAGTGATATAAATATATATAAAAAAATATAAATGTTAAATATGTAAATATATGGAATTGGGCGGTATGTACGCGAATGCCCCAAAAATAACACGGTTTGGTTAGGAAGCAATAAATTTTGGATGCTTTCAAAATTGAAATTATTTTTGGATATTTCACACGTACATAATTGTTAGAATATAATAAGTATTATAGAAACCAATGCTTGGTACGTTAAGATTGAAAACAAGTTAAAAATAATTTCAACTTAAAATATAAATTAAATATTAGGTTCTAAAATAATAACAAATCTTATTTTTTTATTAATCCCATATTTTTTTAATAAATATTTTTAAAAAGCATGAACTTTAAAATACTTTAATAAGTACTATATTATTTATACATATACACATACACATATAGCTAATTACATAAAACTTCCCCTGCGCTATTCCGACTCAAAAACAAAATTTCCGAACAATCACTGCCTCTCTAAATCCCTCTCTCCATCCACCACCATAACCCAACTCCTCTGCAACTCCGAGCTGTCCTCCCGCACCTCAACCTCGCCGCCGATTCCAGCGGAGCCGCCCCCTCTCTCCGGCAAACTCGGCGCCGCCGCGATCTCTCCAAACACTAACTTCGTCACCAAAGCCTTCGCCTCTGCTCTACAAACAGGACAAGTGGAATGCGAATAGAGCCACATATCAATACACCCCACATGAAACAGATGCTTACATTGCGGCAACATTCTCACCATCTCCCCTTCCTCCGCCGCGCTCAAACAAACGGCGCACTCCGGCGATCCGCCCCCACCGTCCTCCGGCCTCCTGTAAGGGAAAGTCGGCAGCTTTTCAATGGCGGCGGCATCAAGGCCTTTGGGGGCCGCAGCGGGTGGGGAGGTGGCGGGGGGAGTGGTGCGAGAGTGAATGATGTTGTTGCCGCCTTTGAATTCGTATTGGCGGCGGTAGCGAGTGTAGAGGTGGATGGTGATGACGATGACGACGAAGATGAGGGAGAGGACGGCGCTGAGCATGAGGCTGGCTCCGGCGGCGGAGCCGGACTGATTGGGGGGGGGGAGGGGGGGAGCCATTGGCTTGTCGGATTGGGGTTGGAGGTCTGAGGGGGGGAGGAGGAGGAAGACATGGGTGGAAAGAGAGGGGTTCGTGTTCCCCTGTTTTCGGCTGTGAAGATACTGGTTTCTTGCTGCTTTAAAACAGGGTGGGTTATTTATATATGGTGTGGGCAATGTATATTTTTATTATTTTAATTTAGCGTTTAGATTTTGGAATATTATATATATAATATATATATATATATATATATATATATATAAGGTACTGTAAGGACGGGAGGATAGTAGAAGTGGAGGATACGGAGGGAGGGACGAAGTGGAGGCTACGGGGAATGAAGAAACAATGAAGGAACAAAGGTTTTGCTTTGTTGGAACTTTTTGATGGACGATAGTGCCCATGGTAGGAACTAAAGGTTTTTTTTTTTTTTTTTCTTTAGAGCATTTAGTTTTGATTTGAATTTGATTTTTTTTCTTATTTTATAAATTACATCAAGATATATTTATGAATTATCGTCTCAATGTTGTCTGAGAATACACCACACATTCGTAGAATTGAAGTAATAAGTAGAGATATCATAAATTTTTTTAAGTTGAAAATCGAGATGGCTAAAAAACCACAGGGCTCTTGTGGCCTAATACGGCCTCGGTGGCTCAGAACTTCTGCAACTCCATACTTTAGCTTCTATGACTAACTCTCACTTTGAAACAATTGTCTAAGACCCACACGACCAACTATTATAATGACTTTCAACTACGCCAAAATGATATTGGCGTTACAACCAACATTTACAATACTCACGACAAATTGCTGCATTGATAGCAATTACTACGACTCTTCCAGCTTGCTATCACCGAGAACTACAACCAGACTAGGCTATTATTGATGAACTATTATTGTACATTTATAATGATCGACTTTATAACTTCATTTTCACTAATTTAAGAGAAGAATAGACATATGTACTCACTATTCATAGTAGGTTATTTCAATTGGGCAAAATTACATGAGTTTATCCCTTTTTCTAAGGTTTTCCATGTAAAATTTTAGATGTATCTTAATTCTCTTTAATTACTTTAGTGTGTGTTGGGTTTTAGTTTAAAGTTAAGATGATAATTCATTACTTTAAAACTGTGGACCTTCCGACACACATTAAATTTATTGATTTATAATAAAAGTTATGCAAAACACATAATTAATAAAAATAAGATTTACATACATATCACTCATTTCTCATGACTTTATTTGTCAAATACTTAAACTTTAATTTTACGTACAAATCATTTTATTTATACATAAAGACGTCTATTTTATTTTTTAAAACTTAAAAAGATGTTATTTATTAAATTGATATGAAACATTTGGGTGTTAAAAATAGAACATGTAAAATATAAGTGCTAGATATACATACTCATAAGAATTTAGTGGTACATATGTAAATTCCTCTTAACACTCAAATTAAGTATTAACTTTAAAATAGTTCTGATTATAGTTTACAAAACAATGACTCTCTCTTAAAATGATTCAAACCAAATAACTCACTGGATAGCTTAAATGCACACTATTTGTAACGCTGCTAATGATCCGATTTCGAGCCGAGCTAGGGTCAGTTTGAAATCATCTCGAATAGATTTAGTGAGGCTCGAAATTGGCTCATTATGCTCGAATTTGAATCGAGCTTGAACCTGCTCGGAATCAAAAAGTTCTAACTCAAATTGAGTTATTTGGATTTATTTCAGCTCAGAATCGGCTCCATTCATCTCAAAATTAAAACTAAGTAGTGCGAATTGAGTTATTTAGATCTGTTCCCGCTCAAAATTGGCTCGCACCTCACTTTACTCAAGTTTACAAAGCATTATATGTATAATTTTAATAAATTCAAAATTTTAAGAACTGATCCAAATATAATTAAAAATCGGCTCGAAAAAAATCCAATTCAAAATTTTAACTAATTAATTTGATCCGATCTCGGTCCAAATTAAAATGAATTAATTATAGAAGGGTATTATGGTCATTTCAGCTTTTTGGGATATTAACTGGTGTGAAAGGAAAGGAAGTTTACCGTATGGGAAAGTACCAATGCCGGATATCGTACCAATAAATCAGTTCTTTTTTTTTTTTTTAAAGATTTAAATGTTGGATTTCTCGCATTTTAAATTAAAAATAATATCACTATCGTAAAAATAATAATTTAGGTTTGTCAGTATTTAATCATTTATAATGTTTTTAAAAAATAAGATTCGCTATTATATTCAGGCTTATTTATTTATTTAATTATTTTATTTAGATAGAGTTCTAATCAGTTCTTAAAATAGTAACAAAATAAAAAATGTAGTGTATTCAGATGAGTCTCTTTGTATAATAGAGCTTCAACTTAACATGCATGTACTTTCTGCGATGATGACTCAAGCATATCATCGTGCATTTTGCATGGCTGAATTCGCCGATGTTCGAACATGCAGACAATGGACGTAATAATTTATCCCGTAGCTCTTTTATCATTTGAATTTTGTTTTGGATGTGCTCCCTCAGGACCTTCACACATCCTCGAAGAACCTTCGCAGGACAAATAAATTTAGTTAAGAATCCTTATTAGTATCATTTTACGATCTTCTTTCTTATAGAAGAATACAAAATTGCTATAGAAGGATTTTTTTTTATTTTAATGAAATACAGTTTCGGTTCTTGCAATGCATCAAGTTCCTCCACAAAAAATAAAATTACACAAAATCTTAACTTGAGATACTTTAACATAAGAAAACAAGTGGCCTTTTTAAATTTTTATTGTAAACCATTTCGTGTTCCTTGACTTTCTTAGCGGAGATTGTCAACTAACTTCAAGCTATTTGGTCCTTCTATATACAGTGGCTACATATCCAAGTGCTTCAGAGCTTTATATGCTAGTTTTTTTTTTAAACATGACAACAACTTATGCCTTAGAAATACTTTTGCTTGATACGTGGCAAAAGAACACTCTTCAAACACAGACATGTTGTTGATTATAAGCTATTCAAGCTTGAGAAAAATAATCATGGTTTTTGAATTGATGCTAACACCAAGAGTCTTAGGCTTGCTTAACTTAGATTTTTTTATGGTAATTAGTGTAAGTTTAAGTGACTAACCCAACGGTAGAAGCTTAGTGCATGATTTTATGCCTTCAAATTATATTCTAGTAAAAAATGAAGGACATATTTCAAAAGATGACAAGGCCATCCAATTCAAAAAATTAAAATAAATTGCTTAGTAACTTCACAATTGTGCAGAAGAGAAAGTTTTAATTAGCGGCTAAGGCTTTATAAAAAAATAAAATAAAATCTATTTTAGTGGTTCATGCTTGGGACAATGAGCCCAAATGCTCCCACTGATGTTATATCTCAGATTATTATGCAATTGTTACTGACATTTAATAGTTTTTTTACTTGTTAGACATTCAAACTTTTTGGTGATCAAAGGACTACTTAATGAAGTATTATATTTTGAATTGAGTGCTACTTTGATTAGATGCATTATGTTATATCTGTGCATACTAAAAAAGTGTTATGTTCCTTCGCCGCTTAAAGCTCTTTTTAATAGAGACATTGAAAAAAAAAACTATTTTATTTTTTAGACTTCAATTTACAATATGAAGGAAATATATGGCTTGTATTCTTTTTCACTTGCTTATGTGTAATATTTGCCTTTTAAGTGCCAAGGTTGATGAAAAAAAAATGTATTTTCATCCATATTGTATCATTTAATAACTCATGCATGGAGGAAATTTGGTAGCATGGATTTAAAATTTACGTTTTGTATTGGCATTGAGGTAGGAAACAGCTCCATGATCTTTCTTTTCCACTGTACTTGATGCATGTAAAGAATTTTGTGACATATATTTGGTGGTAGTGTTTAAATTTTAATCTCCTTCTCTTTATTATATTACGTGAATGTGATCAATTTACATGATAATTGAAACCTTCCAAAGTATCCGTCATCTCATTGTTAAAAACTATCTTAAGTGCAAAAATTAGCTACTGTTAAGAGAAATGACATGGTCTCAATTATGTCTATTTTAGCCTCTATTTTATGACTTTGTTTTTCACATTTATTAAATATTGATAGAACTTCGAAACCTAGCATAAGTGAAAAGGCAAAAATGTTTCATGTTTACGCGGCTTGCATATGGAGGATGTCTCAAGACCACATACTAATGAATATTAGAACATCTCACATTAGTCTAATATACAAATTTTTCGGACAAGCTATCACTGTGATCGCTGCTTGCCTTCACCAACCACCTTCACCTGCTATCACCAAAGACCTTCACACCTTGTTTGATGGACTGAAAGGATCACACGAGCTTAGGGCTTAGCGGCTCGAGCATAGAGAGCTTGTGTGCTTGTTTCTAGACCTCACCATACCGAGTGAAAAAAAATGTTGGAGTTTTTGAAGGAGAATTTAGAATAAGGTGTAGAAAAGAAAAGACGAAGGAAGGGAAGAAGGCGGCGATGAGGAGGAATTAGCGAGAAGCCAACGAAAAAGGAAAGCTTCTCGACGAAGGGTGGGAATAGTTAGACGGCTGGAATAATGACATTGTAAATTTGTAATAGAGACCTTCATTGATAAATTTAATCTTTAAAAGCCTTTATTAGATAAATAAGATTATTTAAGTGACCTTCATTGATAAATTTAATTTTTAAAAGCCTTTATAGATAAATAGGATTATATAAAGGCCTTCATATGTAAAAAATTTCTAATTTTTTCTAATTTTATACTGTGTATGATTCCAATAGGACAACTGTCAAAGTTTAGAGCTCAACCCTACAGCCAAAGCCTAAAACTTTATCTTATCCGATCACACTTTCCCATCAACTCCAAAGCCATCTCCTTCAGGAGTGAAGCTCTAAATCCTCATATATGCAACGAAACAAATACACACAACAGCGGCATCCAATGGTTAAAAATTATAATTCAAATATGCACTTGCATGATCAACGGTTGAGATTTCACTAAACGAAATATCGAACATCCATACAAGTTCCAGATTCCCAAGCCCCTCCCCCTCGCCCAGCCATCATCGACGATCGGCAGATCGATCTGAGATAGCACTTCTTCGCCACTGTAAGCAAAACCCTAATCTTCCCTCCTCCTCTCCTTTGCTATGATCTGAAGCTCGTCGCCACTGAATGAGGGTTTCGCAATCGGTTCCCATCATTCCAACGATCCCTTCTTTGATGCATAGCTTCCGGGAAAATGCTCGGCGGCGATGGTTCTCGTGAGAATCACCGGTGGGGGGAGAGCAAAGTCTACTCCCGTAAGTCTCACAACAAATCATCCGATCGGAAATCCGGTAACCCTCCACCGTACCACGCCGCCGACGATGTCAATTCTTCTCACGATCCGTCCTCGCCGCCGCTGGGCCCTCTCCTTGCTCCCTCCACCGTTTCCGAGGACGACGCATCTAGTCTCAATCGCCCTATTCAAGCTCTAATAAACCGACATCAATCGAATCGGCGCCATCAGCATCACCGCATGGCGACCATCAGCCTTGCTTCTCGGTCGAGGGAGGAAGTAAGGGATCTCCGGCAGAAGCTCGCGGCTGAGCTTGAGCTCGTTCGAGCTATGGTAAGAAAGCTCGAGGCGCGGGAGCTTCAAGCTGCGGCTGCCTCAACTTCATTGGCCCCAGCTGCTGGTTACACCATGTCTCAGCTCTCGGCTAGTGACCCGAATCCAAGTATGCTCGTCAGGAAGACAGCTTTGAGTTCTGAGGTTGTTTCCTGCTTTCCTCAGGTTAGTGTATCTGTTATGCCCGGAGAGAGTAGTTTAAATGAGGGATCGGAGAAAGAGAAGCGAACTCCAAAGGCGAATCAGTATTACAGGAACTCAGAGTTTCTACTTGGGAAGGAGAGGCTCCCCCCTCTGGAACAACATGGATACAAGAAGCATAAGGTCAACGGGAGCAAGGCAATTGCCATGGGAGAGATGGATAGATCTGCGTTTACAAACGCTTTCAATAGTTGCAGGGATCTGCTATCAAAGCTAATGAAGCATAAGCATGGTTGGGTATTCAATGTTCCTGTCGATGTGAAGAAGCTGAATATACCTGATTATCACAGCATCATCAAGCGCCCAATGGATCTAGGTACTGTTAACTCCCGACTCGACAGGAATTGGTATAAATCTCCTGGAGAATTTGCAGAGGATGTCAGGCTAACCTTCAAAAACGCCATGAGTTACAACCCTAAGGGGCAAGACGTGCACCATATGGCTGAGCAGCTGTTGAATATTTTTGAGGAGCGGTGGCCATCCATAGAGGCGCAGTACATGAATGTTTCAAAACCTTCATATTTGAAGAAGAAAGCATCTCTTGATTCAAGGTCTTTGGAAAGGTCGGACTCCACTGTACACCCTGCTCCAATGGAGACTAAGAGTAGAGTGGTGAGTAATGTCCCCCATACTGGACGGCCTCCACCATTGAAGAAGCCTAAAGCAAAAGATCCTGACAAGAGAGACATGACTTTTGAGGAGAAGCAGAGGTTAAGTAATAACTTGCAGAACCTTCCTCCAGAGAAGTTGGAGAATATAGTTCAGATTATTAAGAAGAGAAACTCATCTCTGAGCCAGCATGATGATGAGATTGAGGTGGATATTGACAGTGTAGATGTGGAAACACTCTGGGAGCTTGATAGATTTGTGACTAATTATAAGAAGAGCTTGAGCAAGAACAAAAGAAAGGAGAAGCTTGCTGTTTTAGCACGAACTGGATTTGAAAGCAATGCCATTGAAAGGATGAACGAAGTTGTAAGAACTATGGAATTACTTTGTATTAAATGGTTTCTCTTCTCATTGGTGTCTTCTGACTACCTGTTTTTCTTCATCTTTAATTTCCAGATTCCAGGGCCTGAGGTAGCTGGAGAACACAGGGAGGGCAAGGCAGGTAATAAGATAGTGTGGATAATTTTAATTTTTGTAGCCATTAATTCATTTCATTTTGTACTTAAGGTCTAATTGACAACAGTAATGGGTGAGAAAGAGGTATCTTCAGGATCACAAATAAGAGAAGAGAAGAGGGAGGGGCATCCAAGTAGGTCAAGTAGTTCAAGCAGCTCTAGCAGTGATTCAGGTTCATCTTCTAGTGGTAATTGGGAATTCCTCACTTGGTGAATTCTCAAATTAAGATTAGATTTAGCTTATTATTGAATTGCAGAATTATGTAAATTTTGTTTAACTTAGTGTTCAGAGGGCTTGTGCAGATTCAGGCAGTGAAAGCTCGTCTGCATATGGATCAGATGGAGGTCAGTCGCCTAGACGGTGATTAAATTGCAGGGGTATGAATCACTCAATGCTAAAATGTTGCATTTTTATTTAATGATGCTAGTTATTGAATCTTTGATTGTTGGTTTCTTGTTAATGTTTCATTCAGCTATCTATAATAATAAATTGGAAGACTTACATAAGTACCACAATTCTTATGTATTTACATATCTTACGTCTAAATTTCAATTTTTACTTATATGCCATCTATGCATGAAAATGTATCTTTCACTTTTTAAAAGTTAAAAATAGTGGCTTTTTTATGTGATATGAAAGATTTAGGTGGTATAAATGTAAAAATGCAAAATTAGGTGGTATGAATCACTCAATGCTGAAATTTTGCTTTTTTATTTAATGATACTAGTTATTGAATCTTTGATTGTTGGTTTCTAGATATGTTTCATTCAATTATCTATAATAATAAATAGGAAGATTTACATAAGCACAACATAATTCTTATGTTGTTACATATCTTACATCTAAATTTCAATTTTTACTTGTTTGCCATCTTATCTATGATCCCACTTAGTGGGATAAAGGCTTGCTGTTGTTGTTGTTGCCATCTTATCTTTGCATGAAAAGGTGTATATAATTTCTTAAAAGTTAAAATAGCGATTATTTTTTATGTGATATGAAATTTTTAGGTGGAATAAATGTATAAAAGGAAAAGTTAGGTGTTAGATATGTGAATACATGGGAATTGGGTGGTATGTATGTAAATGCCCCTTTTACATGCATACCTCTCAATTCTTATGTATTTTCATATCTAACAGCTAAGCTTCAATTTTTACATAAAGACCACTTTATATATGATTGAAAAGACGTGTTTCACTTTTTTAAAGTTAAAATAGTGGTATTTTTTTTATGTGATATGACAATTTGGGTGGTATAAATGAAAACATTAAAGTATAAGTGCTTGATATGTAAATGCATAAGAATAGGGTGGTATGTATGTAAATGCCTCTGTTTATTACTCAGATTGTTATGACAGAAGATCTAAACTACCTTTATTATAGCATGAAAGAGATGGGATCGCTCTAAGATCAGTTACTTGGTTGCACCACACATAATATTTAACGAACACAGTGCTGCCAAATTTGTTCGATTTGGCCAAAAATTGATGTAAGGTAATTGTAAATTTCAGTGAATGAGTATAATCTGCTGTGGGATGAATGTAAATTAAATGTGGTGTCAGAATTATGACGATTATGCAAATAGTTATTTGAATTATTGCAAGTGAACGGTGATAAATACAAACTGCTATTTAGGGCAGACATGATAATAAGGATGTAACAAGTATGAGTTAATTCAGTGTTAGTCATGTTAACCACCGTAGATGTAACCCTGTGAAAGTACTTGAGAAATAAAAGCTATGAATGACACAAAATAATGGATTTAAGGCCTTCTAAGACCCGTGAACCCACACACTCAAATAATCTTTCGCTTGGAAGGGAATGGAGCAATAGGCAGCCTAAAAGCAAAAGGAGAGAAAGGAGGGATATTCATGGCATGGTAAGGGGGCGAGGAGTGATGGAGGGGAGATTTTGAAGAGTTTATGTGGGTTTCTAAACGTTTTAAGTGATTCTAATGCAAATTCAAGGCATTTCCAATGGTTTTGTTTTTTTGTTGAACGAATGAGATGTTTGGCAGGCAGGTAGGAGACATCATTTTTGTTGGGGATGATGAGGTGACAAGTCAAAAATTACTTTGCAAGTCAAAATGATGATGTGAGTGTCAAATTTGTTGATGTTGGTCAAAAGGGTCAGCATAGGCTAATTTGCTCTCAACTAAAAGATGAAAGGATTATGCTAAATCATTTTTCATGTCCAATAAAGGCCTACAAATAAGACCCAATGATGAGAAATGAGTTTGAAAAAGAACCCAATGATGAGAAAGGCCCAAAGTACAGTAAGACTCAAGATTCAAAAAAAATAAATCCAATAGAAAACACATAAGAAACAAAATACACCTAGAACATCCTAGTTATAAGTTAACTAAAATCGCATATTAAATTAGCTCCAAGTATGCCCCTGCTTTATTTCCTTGGGGCAAGGAGGTGGGCCGATTCTACTACCAAAAGATTGAGGGAAACAAATTAGAGGAATTTACATGTTTATATCAAATCTCCTTCAACTTATCAACAAAGAGGGCATCTCTTACTATAATTTGGAGCAAAATGTCTTTGGAGAAAGCCAAAGAGAAGAGCACATAAGTTGCTTTCTAATCAAAATTTTAATAACAAAGGTGAGTTGGTGAGGCTGTCTATTCTCCTTTTGGGAGTTCACCCTCCACGTCGTCGTATATTTCTATCCAAGTTGATCTCCTAGGAAAGTTGGTCAGTTGTCGTGGTTGAGTAAAGAAAGCTGGCCAGTTGTCCAGCTTAGTGAGTTGAATAGCTTCATCTTTTGAGCCTCATCCATGAGCTTCTGGTCATACATGCTTATGAATCCATTTCCCGATAACAGTAATAACATGTGAAATGTGTAAGTAAGTGGAGACTATTGCTTTTTTGTGATGGAGATTGTATTAATGAAAGAAGAGAGGAGAGATATGGAGAGAAGAGAATTATAGAGGAGAATCCCTATGTCATGACTAGTGGTAGTTAGTTGATTCAATATGCATGCCATTCAATCAAATTCTTTTTTTATAATTATTTAACACCTTTTATATAGAATAGGTTCTTTAATACACATTAAAATATCTAAAATTAACTTGACAAGGTATAAGGTGTCTTTATTGTAGATCTAAAACGCATTTAAAACATGTGTAGAAACTATATGGACACATTGCCAAGAATCAACTACTATGATTATCATGGATTCATACATTATTCGACCATGATGAGACAGCATTATTTTACCATAATCAAAAGAATTCTTCTTGGAAGAGGCGTAAAGTGACAACCATAATAGTAGTGGAGGTGAATTGGACCATAAGCATGTTGAACAAAACTGCTATTGAGAAATAGGTTAGTATGTCTACATACATACATACATACATATATATATATACATATATATATACATACAT